GATAATCATAAAAACCTCCCATGTATTTTAATTTTAACAAATACCTGCCCTGAACTTTTGAAAAAATCAACAGAAACCTCCATCCATCACTAACGTAGATGGAAAATGTAGAAAGTTATAAAACTCCCCCTGACTAATCACTAAGGCATCATTGAAAATATATTAAAATTGTAAAAATGCTTTCATTCGATTAACAACACTCTTGCGATTATATAGGTCTTTTTTCAAAGCAAAAGAATAGAGTCTATACCCTAACACCACTAAGCACTTGCAATGGCACCATCATTCAAAATATTCCATTTATCGAATAATATTTCCCATTTTTTTGGCAATTGTTCTTCACTAGCCACTGTTCTTTACCGACAACTGTTCTTCACCAGTAGTTGCTCTTCATTGTCTGCAATGCCTCTACTTCCCCCTTGAACAATTTCTCACTAGAGCTTTTTTTATCGTTTCTCTTGCTATTAGGATTGCATTTCACAAATAAATGCAAGTATTCTCATCAATACCACATGGAAAAATAACCAATGCTCTCAAGGACAAGAAATAAATTCCTCTTTTGTGCTGTAGCTTGTCAACATTTTCTTTTGAATAACATCATTGATGGCTTGTAAATGAGTAACCATCAGCCAACTGATAAGAAATTGGGGATCAAATAAAATGATGCTTAATCAAATCCAAAAGCACAAAAACAATAAAACCACAAATTTGTTGAAGYCCACAGTAACTAAATCAAAGATTCAATAAATGTCATTTCGTATGACACAAACTGAGAAAATAAGATGCATAAAGTTTCTATAAATACATAAAACCCAAAAGCAAAATAGGGGAAAAGTTGAACAGTGTAACAATTAATTTTATTTCTGATATGCAATCAAAACCAAGAATTCATCATTTGGCATTTCACTAGAAAAMCAATGTCATAAATCCAAGATGTGAGTAAAAGATTAGGTGGCCTTTAATTTGATTAACACATTTCTCAGCCAACCTTGCTGGTGAATAACAACCATTGGCAATAGTTCACCTTCTRATCTATAGTTAAAGTTCAAATTTTATCCACATTCCCCTGTGCATAAACTAGAAATGTTGCCTCACTTCTCCACCAGAAAATCTCCGATGGTCGAATGTTGTTTCCCTTCTTGACTAGAGTAAGTTTCAAGGAGGAAAGAGCCAACGGTTTTTGAATTTTACCCATAAAATACATTGATAGTGGCGTTGTGGAATGAATGGTTTAAAGTATSGATACGATACGCATACGGGGCRTACCGTATCGTATCTTTTGAAAACGATACGGTCTGAAATGCCTRCTTCCAGGTGTTTTAGACCCCCAATTTTTTTAATAATAAAAAACACGTTTTAAGCTTCCTAAAAAACTAAACTTGGAAAAAAACTAAAAAAAATATATGTTTTGACCGTTTCTAAGTACCGGTATGATATGGCTGAAATGTGTATCTTATCGATACTTTGAACCATGGTGGAATGATATTTTGATTTTAGCTATATAACCATGATATTTTGTGTGTTTGCATTTTTTTACTTTATTTTGATTCGATCATATCAATTGAACAAAGTTAAATCATTAAACTGTCTCTTGACTGTACAAAAAAGTTAGACAATTAACGAAGTTATTATAGGTAAGGTGGATGCGATTACGGGGTGGCAACTGAATTGGAGATCATGGTAACTGAGTGAGTGATCATAGTGAGAAAAGTTGGAGACTGTGGCAACTGAATTGGAGATCACGATTATCAAGTTGGAGATTGTGGTTTAAGTTGGAGATAGCAATGACCGAGTTGGAGATCACAGTGACTTCCGATGTTTGCTCAAAATTTGATTTTGCATCCTTTGAGCTAATTCCTTAGAAATCGAAATGGAACCAGAGACTATAGTTATCACACGATTTTGCATCCTTTGAGCATGTGGCTAATTTGTTTCTAGAATATTTTCATGTTTGTTTCTTGTTTAAGAATACTCGCCTAGTTTCTAGAATATTCATTATTTGTGCTGAAATATTCAGCACTTAATGAACCAAATCGACTTAGTCATAGTTGGTCTAGTCGTGGTCCCCTCATCT